TGCCCCATAGAGTTTCCAAGGAGTGCCTGGAGGATTTGAACTGCCAACTTTTTGGTTAGCAGCTGTAGTTCTTAACCACTACACCACCAGGGTTTCCACTTTTTAATATAGTGCTTAAAAATAGTAGCCAGAAAAATTAGACCAAAAAAAAAATTATAGAAATCATTTTTTGTAGACAATATGGTTGTAAACTTGGAAAACCCAAGAGTCAACTGAAAAATTACCACAGACAAAAGAATTCATTAAGATAGCAGAAAGCGCCCCATAGGCACATCCAAACTCTCTGAGGGACTGAATTGCTGGGCGGAGGGCTGTGGGGACCATGGTCTCGGGGAACATCTAGCTCAATTGGCATAACACAGCTTATAAAGACAGTGCTCTACATTCTACCTTGGTGAGTAGTGTCTGGGGTCTTAAAAGCCTGTGAGCGGCCATCTAAGATACTCCACTGGTCTCATCCCTTCGGGAGCAAGGGAGAATGAAAAGAACAGGATACAACGAAAAGATTAGTCCGAAGGACTAATTGTCCACAGCTACCAAGGCCTCCACCAGACTGAGTCCAGTACAGCTAGATGGTGCCCGGCTACCACCACTGACTGCTCTGACCAGGATCACAACAGAGGGTTCTGGACAGAGCTGGAGAAGGATGTAGAACATAATTCTATCTCACAAAAAAAAGACCAGATTTACTGGCCTAAAGGAGACGGGAGAAACCCCGAGAGTATGGCCCCCAGACACCTTTTTAGCTCAGTGGTGAAGTTATCTCCGAGGTTCACCGTTCAGCCTGGGAGTGGACAGCCCCGTAAAACCAAATGAGACTAACGAGATACAGGAGTCCAGTGACGAGGGCCAGAAGGCAGAAGGGGAGAAGGAAGCTGGTGATAGGGAACCCAAGGTTGAGTAAGGATATTGTTGATGTGTTGTGAGATTGTTAACTATTGTCATAGGGCAACATTTGTAATAACTGTTAAATGAGAAACTTTTGTTCTGTAAGCCTTCATCTTAAGGGAGAGTAAGTGCATAATTGGAAGAACGTAGTCAATGTCACTGAACTGTGCATGTAGAAATTTTTGAATTGGTGTATCTTTGGCTATGTGTATTTTCACCAAAAAAAAAAAAAAAAGGTTGAGAAGTTAGAGGGTTGACATGTTGTGGGGTTGTTAACCAATGTCATAAACAATATGTGTACTACTGTTTCATGAGAAACTATTTGTTCTGTAAGCCTTCACCTGAAGTACAATAAAAAAAAAAAAAAGCAGAAAGCAGTACTCTTTATACATACATATACACACATATTTAAGGTAGAAGCTATAATGGAAGAAAATAAACCCTTTTTGAAATAATATCCAAAACAGATAAAGTAATAGAAATTAGTTTAACAAGAAATGTGGAAAATCCCATATGAGGAAATCAGTAAAACACTACTGGGAGAGGGAGTATATGGGAACTCTACTTTCTGTACAATTTTTGGTAAACCTAAAACTGCTGTATAAAATGCCTATTTTTGAAAGCACACACTACTGAGGACACAAAAGAAAACTTAATCTAATGGGAAGACATACCCTCTTCTTCAATTAAAGATCAGTATTTTTAAGTTACATAAGCGTTAAAGACAACCCCAGTCCCGTACCTGTTGCCATCAAGTTGATTCTGACTCATACCTACCCTATTGGACAGAGTAGAACTGCCCCATAGGATTTCCAAGGCTGTTTCTTATCTTTATGGGGGAAGACTGCTACATCTTTCTCCTGTGGAGCGGCTGGTGGGTTCAAACCTGCTGACCTTTCTGGTTAGCAGCCGAGTGCTTTAACAACTGCACCATCGGGGCTCCTTCCCCTAATACTAGACACACTAATTCTGAAGCTTACATGGAAAGTGGACAAACGTAATAAACCAGAAAGATAAAAGAAAAAGAACAGTGAAGGAGATTAGCCCTACCAGATGATAAAGTAAGTTATAAAGCCTTAATAATTAATACATTTTGGTTCTGTCTTATGAATAGTCAGACCAGTGGAACAGAGTAGCAATTCTAGAAGTAGACCCATAGAACTTATTAGTTTATGATCATGATTAAGAAATGTGACCAAGAAAAGGTGAACTTTTCTTCAGTAAATAGTGTTGAGAAAACTGGTGCCCTTGGCACCCTTGTGTTGTTCTTGGGTGCCGTCGAGTCAGTTCCAACTCATAGTGACCGTGTGTACAACAGAACGAGACACTGCCCAGTCCTGCACCATCTTCACAGTCACGGTTGGGCTCTCTCTGACCCTCTACACCCTTGTAGAAAATCAGTAAATGTAAGGGTGTATTTCTGGACTTTCAGTCCTATGCCTTGATGTATATGTCTATTCTTAAGCCGTTATCACGTTATCTTGATCAGTGTAGCTTTGTAGTAAGTTTTGAAATTGAGAAGTGTTAAGTCCTCCGAGTTTGTTCTTTTTCAAGATTGTTTTGGCTATTGTATTTCCACATGAATTTTAGGATCACGTTGTCAATTTCTGTGTTGAATCTGTTTGGGGTGTATTGCCATCTTAACAATATTGTCTTCTCATCATGCAGAATTAATTGAATTCTAGTCAGTTCCCTAATTTCCTCCTTCATTCTTTCTCATTTTTGATAAATGACTTTAACAAATTCTATCATCCATGTTCTCCATTTCAAAATCTGCAATTATTCTTTCTTCTTCTTTCCCAATATATTACTTGTATTCTCCTTCCTTTCTCATCCTGGTTCCACTGGGATCTTGTTCTTTTGATTATTCACCATAATGTTCAGTTTGAGTTCAGTATTCATTTTCAGTTTCTCATTGTCACTTGCACTTCCTTTCTGCTTTCAAACAATTCCGTTTTCCCGTCTTTAACAGTGCTCACTCTTGAATCGTTTGCCTCCTGACTGTCACCCTTCATCTCCTTTTTCTCATTTGTTTCCTTCCTAAACTTCCTTAGTAAGTGGTCCTCTCTACCAGCTTCCATTGCTTCATCCCCCGTTTACTTGCCTTCGTGAGAGAGTGTATTATAGTAGAAGGAGCATTGGGCTAGAAACCAGAAAATTTCAAGTTCTTTCCAGATTCCTTTGCCAGGCTCCTTAACTTTTCTGGACTTCAAATTTTCTTTTCTGTAAAAAGAGCAAGGTGATCTAGATTAGTTTTGTTAAGATATCTTTCTAGCCTCCGAACCCTTAGTTTAAAAGAAAGCTTACTTGGAGCCCCAGTATATAAAAGTGGAGCTTTCTGTCCTGAGTTGTAGGTGACAAGCTTAGAGCTTTTTGTTGTACCCAGCAGTAGCTCCTGGGAGCCTGCATGGAATCCCCCAAGAGCACAATTTGAAAGCCACTGGAAAGTCTCTTCAGCTCTAAAATTTGGTAACTCACTAGTGATTACTGACATTGTTTTCTTGTTGCCAGATTAAATTCTCTTTTTAGGCTCCATTTCTCCTGGACAGCTTATAGTATCTGAACACTTAGTTGCTCTGTTTTTCCCCCCAAATTATTTTCTTTATCTGACTCTAAGTGCTACCCATCCTAGATTCTTCTAACTCTTTACAGAAGCTTTTCTAAATCATACCAGCTCATGGTAATATTTTTTCCCACTTACACTCTGTGATAATCATTATTCATGCCATTTACTTGGGACTTAAAAATTGTGCAAGGTACTTTGAGCTTCATAAAGATAAATTAGGCAGATCCTGACCTAAAGATCTGTAATCTAGTAGGAGACTAGAAATGCACAAATAATTATGGAGTTGGGAAGGTACAGATGAATTTCTATGGAAATTTAAAAGAAGATGAAGATACCTTTTCCCTGGGAGAATAGGGCAAAGAGGAGATGGGTTGAGTCTTGAAGGAAATGTAATGTCTAAACAGAGACAGGTGGGCATTCCTGACTGAAGGAAGCGTGAACCCAGGCAGAGAGGCAGGAAAACATGCGCTGGGTGGGTGCTTTGGTTTGGCCGGAAGAAAGGGTAAAGAAGGGAAATGGTGGAATATAAAGTTGTAAAGGTAAACCAGAGCTGGACCTTGTTGTCTTTTTATTAGGCGTATGTCTTGTTTTCCCAACTATTTTATAAACTCTTTGAAGACACGTAGTATGTCTTACACTTTTAACCTTTTACAGCACGGCTGTGGGTAGAGGAGAAATATTCAGTAAAATTTTATTGAATATATGAAAGGTAGAAACAGAAAGATAGTAGTTTCCCAAATAATCATTAGTCAAGATAACTTATTGTCACATTCTTCTGTTTACTTCGACTCTGGTTTTATCAGTAAAAACTATTTCAGATCTCCATAATAATGGTTCCTTGTAGCTAAAGAAGTAATAATGGAATTTAAAAAAATCGGGGGTGGGGAGTTATCCAAGTAACAGTACTCAGTTTAATTCATTCCCAAAAGGGCATGATAAATGCTAGTTTGAGCTGAAAAAAAAGAATCTGTATAAACCAACCTTATTTTTGGAATTTAAGCTCTGTTCATAACATTTTAATAAATTAGATTCTAAAGAATTTTTTTTTCTGGGATTCAGATTTCATTTAACCATAAATATTTTTTAAAAGAAATTAAGTTAGAAAGGTATACCCCAAAATTGTCTTGGACTATGTATGGGTAAAATTTTCTTTTTTCACAATATTTTCTAAAATACTAAAGATTATTTAATATAGCAATGTCTACTAAAACAATGTTCATATTGCCATAAATTCCTGATACTGATGGTCTCCATGAAAGGAATATATCATATACATGTGAAAAGGCAAGGAAATTGAGTATGCCTGCTTTCAGTTTTTTCTTTCCATTGGCATGTTCCAATCCTTTTCATTTTTATAAAGCAAAATTCACTTGACATTCTAAATTAGAGAATATATTTAGTATAGGGGAGACTTGCTCTTCTCTCATTTAAAAAGAGCAAATTATGACAACTTTCAAAAGCCATTTATGTTAGAAATTGTTATGGGAAAGCAATTCATTATTTGACAATATTTGTTTTGTTTTAAACTTTCTGTATCATGTACTAGGTGAAAAACCTTTTCGCTGTGACGAGTGTGGTATGAGATTCATACAAAAATATCATATGGAAAGGCATAAGAGAACTCATAGTGGAGAAAAACCTTACCAGTGTGAATACTGTTTACAGGTAAGAGATGATTTGCAATTCTTTGTCCATAATTAAATTATAAAATGATTGTAATAAGTTAAATTAGAAAATGTTATTTACTGTTAGAAGTGTTTGAAAACCTCACAACTGTCATTTATTAGATTTGTAATAGAAAATTGACTGAGCAAGTTCATTTGGAATTGCGTATGTTATTACACTTACATATATCGTCATACTAATTTATTTCTTTTTTTCCTTTTCTTTTCCTGGTTGACCAAAACAAACAAACAAAAAACCCACTACTGCCCTCTGAATTGGACAGTATTTTTCCAGAACAGATCGTGTATTGAAACATAAACGTATGTGCCATGAAAATCACGACAAGAAACTAAACAGATGTGCCATTAAAGGTGGCCTTCTGACCTCTGAGGAAGATTCTGGCTTTTCTACGTCACCAAAAGATAACTCACTGCCAAAAAAGAAAAGGCAGAAAACTGAGAAAAAATCATCTGGGATGGACAAAGAGAGCGGTATGGACAAATCTGACCTGAAGAAAGACAAAAATGATTACTTGCCTCTTTATTCCGCAAGTACTAAAGTAAAGGATGAGTATATGGTAGCAGAATACGCTGTTGAAATGCCGCATTCTTCAGTTGGGGGATCGCATTTAGAAGATGCATCAGGAGAAATACACCCACCTAAGTTGGTTCTCAAAAAAATTAATAGTAAGAGAAGTCTGAAACAGCCACTGGAGCAAAATCAAACAATTTCACCTTTATCCACATATGAAGAGAGCAAAGTTTCAAAGTATGCTTTTGAGCTTGTGGATAAACAAGCTTTACTGGACTCAGAAGGCAACGCTGACATTGATCAAGTTGATAATTTGCAAGAGGGGCCCAGTAAACCTGTGCATAGCAGCACAAATTATGATGATGCCATGCAGTTTTTGAAAAAGAAGCGGTATCTTCAAGCAGCAAGTAACAACAGTAGGGAGTATGCTCTGAATGTGGGTACCATAGCTTCTCAGCCTTCTGTAACACAAGCAGCTGTGGCAAGTGTCATTGATGAAAGTACTACAGCATCCATATTGGATTCACAAGCATTGAATGTAGAGATTAAGAGTAATCATGACAAAAATGTTATTCCTGATGAGGTACTGCAGACTCTGTTGGATCATTATTCCCATAAAGCTAACGGACAGCACGAGATATCGTTCAGTGTGGCTGACACTGAGGTGACTTCTAGCATATCAATAAATTCTTCAGAAGTACCTGAGGTCACCCAGTCAGAGAATGTTGGATCAAGCTCCCAAGCATCCTCATCAGATAAAGCCAACATGTTGCAGGAATACTCGAAGTTTCTGCAGCAGGCTTTGGACAGAACTAGCCAAAATGATGCCTATTTGAATAGCCCGAGCCTTAACTTTGTGACTGATAACCAGACCCTTTCAAATCAGCCAGCATTCTCTTCCATAGACAAGCAAGTCTATGCAGCCATGCCCATCAACAGCTTTCGATCAGGAATGAACTCTCCGCTAAGAACAACTCCAGATAAGTCCCACTTTGGACTAATAGTTGGTGATTCACAGCACTCATTTCCCTTTTCAGGTGATGAGGCAAACCATGCTTCTGCCACATCAACACAGGACTTTTTGGATCAGGTGACTTCTCAGAAGAAGGCTGAGGCTCAGCCTGTCCACCAAGCTTACCAAATGAGCTCTTTTGAACAGCCCTTCCGTGCTCCATATCATGGATCGAGAGCTGGAATAGCTACTCAATTTAGCACTGCCAATGGACAGGTGAACCTTCGGGGACCAGGGACAAGTGCTGAATTTCCAGAATTTCCCTTGGTGAATGTAAATGATAACAGAGCTGGGATGACATCTTCACCAGATGCCACAACTGGCCAGACTTTTGGCTAAAAAAAAAAACAAAACAAAAATGTAAATAATACTGGCACTTTAGAACAGATTAATCAAGAATGGGGTTACTCTGTGTAAGATGGAGTGCTGTACAGATTCAAGAGCAATGCGTTATAACAAGTTAAGCTGATATGAATAGCAAGATAATCCAATAACTGCGTTTTGTTTGGTTAGTCAGCATTCTTTGAACTGCCTTACATGTCGTCACCTTTATAGAAGCAATGCGTTACTTGTTTTAGATCAGAAACTTGCTATTCTACCTACACCAAGTTAAAAAGGAAAAAAAAAAAAAAGACTTTCGCACAATTGTTTCCTAACTGATACCATTGTGCATTCTTAGGAGGTTAGTAATTGTGTGAAATTTACTCATAACTGTTTCTAAGTTTTTCAGCGCAGTCATTGCACTTCAGCAGGGAATCTGAGTATACTTTACAGACAGAGTGAACTTAAAAGTTTAAATGTCAAGAGATTATGGCTTAAATAAATTAGTGTGTCCTATAGGGGGGAAAAGAAACCACCTTTTAAAGAGAATGACATGCCATATACCCTTGATTTTCATTTTGCATTATATTGACGTGTTTTTTTGAAGGAAAAAAGTAATAAAAATCTGATAGTCTAAGACTCCACTATTTAAAAGCCTAATTACTTTTAAAATATGCATACTTTCAAAACTTTTACCAAAATACACAACTGTTGAAGCGTTCACTTCTCTATGGAAGTATGCATATCGGTGTCAGTTTCTTTGTACAGTTGTACCTAGATATTTTTTATGATTTTTCATGTGCAGGTATCAAGGTTTTGAAGTTTTAGTAAAAAAAAATATTCTGTAGATTACATTCCCAAGAACATAATGCTTACACAAAATGTATATTCCACGTTTTAAAGCTTAATTGTATTTTACTTTACATATACACTTCAGTTAACATAGAGCACTTAGAATCTATTTGGTATTTTTGATTTCTCAAAGTAAAAAAAAAGATTTAGATTTTTAGGTTTGATATGATTGTGTCATAATCATCTCATAAGTGACAATTTTAATTTTTGGCAATAAAAGGAAATTGGATTGTCTTTGGAGCTGTAAAACCGCTTTAATCCTTCTCTTTCTAGAATCTTAATAGATTGGATAATTAAACAGTATCCAGAGAAACTAAAGAAATGGGCATTTTAATTGCTTATTTTATCTTGAGTTACTTTTTTAATGATCATTGCTCATTACAATTTTACAAACCAAAAGTGTTTACTAATTCTAGTAACAACAATTTCTTTTTCAGCTAGATAAGTGATCGAAAACTTTTTGTTGCATTTCAAAATCTAAATAAACTACAGACTTTATCCTTATACCACGAATGTTTTTTTTTTTTTTTTTTTAAATACTTTGTCTTAAATAATACAGCATGGTACAATAAATAGTGATTATATATATATATATCTCTCTATATATATACACTTTTATGAAGAATGATGGTTTGAGTTGCATATTAGACAGTTTTGATTTTTGGAAAATAACATTAGTTATACTAATTCTGTTCTCCTGTCTTATTTGTTCCAACTTTGGTTTTCTTATTTAAAATTTCCACCATCTTTGTCACAATGCACATACTGATATAGCACCAGTGATAATCTGAAATTAATACCTTTGGAAGATGAAACTTGTTAATTTCCATTCTAGCCTTTATATTGGCACTATAAATCTGTAGTTTTGTTTCAACATAAAATATGTTATCCATTTAAATTATTTTTTTCTTTTATTTAATGATATCCCAAGACCGTTCCCATAAAAAAAGGGAGCAAAGAAATATTCACCCTAACATCCTTCACACTTATTTTGAATATATTGGTGTTTTTATGATAAGGAATATTAATTATGTTTAATGTGGTTTCCTCTACACTTTGGTTATTAAGCTTTGCTTGAAATGTTAGTTTTCCCATTTGACAGCTTTCTTTGCTGCCAGGTTTTGGAAGGAACTAGACTTCCTTGAGGTAAATATTTGAGTTCTGCCACTGTTGACTCTGAAGGTTGCTATGTGTTGGGTTGTACATCACATGACTGTAAGAAGGCTTCATCCAGGTGAGAGCGAACACGAAACTGTGCTCACACTAGGCAGGCATTTGCGTTTGTTTTCATTGTTTTTTTGATGATAGAAGGCATTTATTTCCTGAGTTGACTTTTTTTCAGCCTGATCAAAAATTTTGTTCCATTGAGAACTTGGTGTAGTTTTGGTTACAGTCTAAAGTTTTTTGTTTGTTTCAACATCACCAGCACAGTTTTTAGAATGTGACGCTGTTGCTGAGCAGTTAGGGTAAGCTTAGGAAGGAAGGCCTTTGAAAATACTAGTTATGCAAGCAGAAAATTCAGGTGTTGCACTTCTGTCTTCAACACATTTCATTAAATCTACACAATGGCAGACTTTTCTACCAGGTTATAAGCATTTTTGAGATAAGTGATATTTAGCAGCATAAATTATTAATTTACCATTTAAATTATAGTCTTTACTCTCTTACTGTGAAATTATCGATGCCTACCAGAGTTACTTTGTATTATTATCATCACTATGATAAACATCTCAATAGTTTGGGTTTCCCCCCATTGGTTCAGAATGTTATTTAATTTCTATCTGGGCATTAATAGAGAAGATAACTAGCCTTGCATGCGGCTTTAGATTGGAACGTTGAGGATATGAAATATCCTTTTGCAGCTTGTTTCACATGCTCTTACACCCCTAAACTTTTTTTTAATTTTTATTTTGCTTTAGGTGAGAGTTCACCCTTAAACTTTTGATCAATATGAGTGAGGTGTGCTTTTTCACTTAGGACTTAGTCTCATGTTTGAAGATTGGAAACAGGTCACCTTAGGTGAGGTAATATCTCTTGAACATCTTCTAAAAGTTTTTTGTGCCTTTTTTATTTTATTATTTTAAACTTCTTATTGCACACATATTTCGTTTGGTTCAGAATATTTGAGTGGCTCTTAAATTTTTTGGATCTGCATGCAAATTTTCTACTTGATATAGTAGAAATCTTTTTAGCCCTAGCTAAGGATTGTCAGCAGTCCAGTAATTTTACCTTTTTGAGAGGTAGAAGAGGCCTGTGCTCAGGGTAGGTTTCATTTCCACAAGTAAGAGAAACTTGCAGAATGCCAGCTAGGTTAGATCTTTTGCCACTTCTTTCATTTTATTTGGGTTTTTAAAGGGCTGTTTAAAAAAAAAAAAAAAAAAAAACCAGGAAACTTTTAAAGTAGGCATTACTGTAGTAGTGCATTTCTTAGAAGATTTTAAACTAGAACTCATTTTTTTTCCCATGGTATATTTACTTGAAGAAGCACTATTATAGTCAATGAAAAAAATTTTGAGTCTACAATTTAATTTAAACTTTTTCAGTTTCAAATTGCTTTATTTCAGGGAAATAATTTTCCAGTTTTTGCTATATCTGCAAATAAAAACCTTATGTTTCCTTTTTTCACTTAAACTTTGGTAGGAAACAAACTAAAGCAGACAAACATTTCTTTGTTATGTTTGTTGCTTTCTTTAATCCAATGGATAAAAAAGTAAAACCCTGTAAACATTATTTTATTTTTTTATGCAATACCATGCTGTAAATATGGTTCATCAAATAAGGATGTACCTATGATTGAATCTTTAATTCTGCACAGTTAGAGTTTATATATAAACGTGTCTTGACAATCAAGGACTTTTATGTGAGTCTTCCTTTACAATGTTTATTAATGTTATGCATTCCATTTGTTTTAAAGTGAGTACCAATGTGCTAATTTGTATTGTCTGAAAGTATGTAATGTTTTTACAGCTTGTTTTTAAGAATCTGTAAATATGTACAAATCACAGTACTGCTTTATGTTAGAAGGCATATGATGTTGTACTGTATGTAAGCAATAATACATAGCAGTGCTAACTTTACAAATAGCATCAGGAAAGTTCTAAAAAACCTTTCAGAGTTATCAATTATCCTTATTCATTTAAGAATTATGTTTAATCAGTTTTTATAAGCAAATTCCATTGTTCCTCCTATTGGAACATAACACTGTTTACACAGCATAATTGAAGTTGCAGGGGAGACAGGCTAAATCTGACTTCATCTGTACTCACTTTCACTAAGCATTGAATGGCCTTACCACTCTTCTGCAAGATGGAGGAAGACTGCAAAACTTAGTGCCCATCACACTGAAGGAAGGGGGGTGTTTTCGTTTTCTTTCCTGCTTCTGTACTGCTACCTAACCTTGTGGTTTGCTTTGGATTTTAATATTTGTTTCTGTTTTAAATTCAAGCCCGTAAGTTTGAGGTGACTTCAGCTCCATTGTGAAATAGATAGTTCTCTTCATATTTCATAGCTGCATTCAATAATTCTGAACTTTCTACTTTGATTTTTAGATACTTATTTTTCAAGCTTGATTTCTCAACTGATCAGATGAATTTATTCAACTTCAATACAAAGAAAGACAAACCTAATGTAGTTTGAATTGAGTAGATACTATACTGTACAGAACAGCTAACTATTTGAACACACATCACTGCTTTAGAAATAAAATCACCAATTTATAAATGTATATGACCTACATTTTATAGGAGAAATGTTTTTAAATGCTAGTCATTTATATAATGTGCTTTGAAGGATTTGCTAGTCCACTTCTGTCACTTTTTAGTACACTGGTATCTTTTATATGTAATGTATGCTTTTTATTATTGTAGCAAAGCATTTCAGTAGAAAGAATTTTGCAACAATATGGGGGAACTTTTTCATTGTTGGATTTGAATTATACTGGATTTTATCTGTGTAATCTTACTTGTCTTTATTTTTAATGCTGTCTGGAAGGGAACTTGGTATCCAAATAAAGCAGGTAACCTCATTTTATCCAAGGGCATACTGTGTAGTGCTGAATTTAATCTGGAAATCTGATGATTTTGAAAAGAAAAAATTTATAAAATTGTACAGAAGAAATTAAATGTGTGATGGAAATCCTGATGATGGAGCACGTTGACTTTTCTGATATATAGTGTTATTTTCCTGGGATCCCCTATGCCTTCTTTGTATTTCAGCTAATAAAGGAAAAACCATGTCATTGGAACTGTTAGGATAAGAGGATATTCTGATGATACAGTATTACTTTTCCTATCCCATTTTCTGTCCCTTTCTCAATCACTGTAAATTTTTATTTTCTATTTCCTATTGATAATTAAACATGTACATAATATAGATGCTGTTGTATAGAACTGAATGAATTGGGTTGCTATGCTTGAATGAGTAACTAAGCGGAAATATTTTATGGATACTGAGAATTCATAAAATGCCAGAGCAAATTTACATGGGAAAAAGAGGGACATTGTGTGTCTTGAGAAGGTGACTGCAGATTGTTTCTTCAATCCCGTGGGATATCAGTGTGAAAGAACCAACTGCAAACTCAACATCAGAAACAGTGGGTTTTCCCCTCCCCTTTCCTCCCCAAAAGTGCGCGCACGAAATATCAAAATCAACTCAGGTGAAAATTGTTTTGCAATGAAACTTATCATATTGAAATTTTCACTGTTAAATAACAAGCTATTTGTGATATTTTTAAATAAAAACTTTCACATCAGTAGTCAGCAGCCTGACAACTGAAATTTGGTAAGTCAGTATATTTTAAAAATATGTTTTGCCTTCCAAACAGAATTGTTTTTAAACAATTGGGAGGATTTTTTTGTTTGTCTGTTTAAATGCATTTTTACTGTCATTGTAAAAATAAAATCTTGCTTGACCCCATATTATGCCATGAATGGAATGAATTGCTGAGCCTTTATAATGCAACGAAAGATGGTTTCATGCATAGTCATGGAACATGGAGATGTCTTTAAGCTGACCTATTCATTAAGAGGTTTAATAAGTTTCACGGCTTCTGGCATTATTGTTTTCATATAGTTAACCTTGCCATTTGGAGTTTATAATACCATTTTATGTATTGTGATACTAAAGGAAGTTGTTTTGCTTTATTTTTAATTGAATTTTAGAGTAATTTATATTTACAAATTCTGCATTTGAAATGTGGACACTGGCTGTTTGAAAAATAAAAAATACAGAATACAGTTTTTTGAATAATTTTCTAGCCGTATTTTTCACAATATTCTGAACCAAATATATAATAGTAGATATGCAAAAACTATGGTGGGTAGATAATTTGATATTAACAGAGAAAAGGATTTCTGTATGTAATAAACAGTTTGTCACAAAAGTTAGGTAACAATTAGCAGGACTTTTACTGTAGCTTTGTGTGGAATGTTATTTATTAGACAGTTCTAAAATGCAGGAGTCCAATGTTACCATCATTACGTATTTTAGGTCTGAAATATGTTTAACACAGAGCCAAGAATATACGTGGTTCTTTCTTTGCAGATGAGATTCTATTAACCCACCATCAGTAGGATGCATACTTTGAGATTTTTAAAAAAATTATTGGAAATTTGTTTTCATCCATCTACTATCTTGCCAGTCCCCTATGTTGTGACTAGTGGCATGCATTGCCGGGAAGCTGCAGTCAGGAGTGCAGTCTGGGTCCATCAAACGAACTAAAACTAATTGTCCCATGCAGAGATTAATCCTAGGACCTTGGCCTTATTATATTAGCCTGGTGCTTTAACCAATTGTACATAATAATACCACTGATATTCTACTAATGCGTTTCCTAGATCCCAGTTTTTCTTGAATGATTAGGAATGGTGGGAGAGGGATGGGCAGATAGTCTACAAGATACTTCTCCTACCTTCTAAATGAGAAGATAACAAGAAAAAATAAAATTGAATTCTCTTAAATCAATGTGTTCTTATTGAGTCTTGCTTGCCAACTTATCATGCACAAAAGGATTATGAAGACTTTCATGATTATATGTTTGGAGAGAGATTTTTTTCAAAGTGCTGGCTAGTTTTTGTTTTTTCCCTTTGTGGACCAGGTAAGGTATTAGGATAAATGATACTAAGCCCGTTTGACGGATGAGGAAAGAAAGGCATTGAAAAGTTTAAGTGAACTAATTGCTAACATTTGGGTCTCATAATTTCAGTTCTTTTGTCATTTTCAAGTGTTCTTAAAAGGACATTTACAGTAAAACGTTTTGCACTCATGCAGATGTATATGCATATGTGTGAAGGCTGGGATGTGAGATGTGATATTGTAGATGAGAATGACATTTTCAAAGTGATTTTCAAACTATTGGGAAAACTCAAGTTTAGAAATGGACTCGTAAAATAGAGAACATTTGAGTGTACAGATGAAAATTTAAAGTTGTAACCTTAATTTCCCCTAGCTGCTTCTGATCAATAAGATTCTGAAACTTATGATGCCTGTATTAAGGTGAAGAGGGCCAAAGAAGTGCATCGTCATTGTGTTCTCCATTGATTTGAATCCTTAGAGGTATTAGGAGTGCCATTTGAATGTACTAGAAATAATGGTGGAGATTTGACGGTATTAAGGATACTATGATCAGGAAGCCTAGAAATGTCAGATTTCTGTACTTGACCACAACCAACTAAACAAGATTCCCAAAGGAGACACAAGGACCAGTGTGGGAATATAGTGGGAAACAAGGTACCCTCTTATTATATGCAGGGCTTGTTTTCCAAACCCTAGTGTAGAAATGGACCAGAGAGGCTAGGACTTACATTACTGTAATAATCTAAGGCCATTTCTTTTACTTTGGTGCCTCACCACCCTCTAGCTGGCCAGAGCAATGAGATCATCTCAACATATGAGGAGTAAAAAAGCAGGCTGACCAAGCTTCTGTCAGTGGATCAGTGGGCCCCAGAAGAAGAAAGGAAGCAGCAGAAAAGAGCATGTCCACATATGTGGCATATTAATGGAAAATGACCTTTTCCAGTGCTGGGTGTGGATCGATCAGATTGGCAACTCATGTGGAGCAAGGGCTTGTAAATATTTTCCGAATTCTTTGGAGTCCCTCTCCCTTTACCACCAACACAGCCCAAGCCACCCGTGGGTCTTACTTGGGCTCCTTGCAAGTTTCTGCACATCTACTCTTGACATCGAGTCCTTTCTCCAGATAGTAACCATGCAAAACTCCTGAAACTTCCTAGTTGCTATTTGGATAAACACTAAACTCCTTACCTTGGTTCTCCCCTGCCCAGCTCCCTAGCCTCATCCTGCAATAAGCCTCTCATTCTCTCTGCTCTTTCCCTCCTGGACCTGCTTTCAGCTTGTCATAGTTGGTCATGCTCCCCTCTGCCGCAAAGGCAAATCTTCTTTATACTCTTTACCTGTTAACTCCTCCTTGCCCTTTGGATTTCTGCCCCAGCACCACTTCTTCAGAAAAGTTCATCCTGATCTCCCTGATGAGGTCATAACCTCTCAGTGTCAGGCACAGTGATTGGTGCTCAACAGATACTAATGTGGTGGAAAAAGAGCGGCCAGGCCCCAAGAATTACATCCAGGAGTGTAAAGAGAGCTTTCAGGTGCCAGAGAAGAAGGACTGCCAAGAAATTTGAGACTCTGTAGATAGCAGCAGAGGTTCCAGAAAACCGGTCATGTGATTTTTAAAATGGAAGGAAAGAGAGTAGATTCTGAAGAAAAAAAAAAAAGCTGATCTGGATTTCAATCCACAGCAAAATTCTAGAATCTTCATAACAATTCTGCCAGGTAGGTTTGGCAGATCTTACCATTGGCTCCATGTTACAAATGAGAAAACTGAGGATCTGACACATTAAAGACCTTGGACAAGGTCACAGTGCAAAGGGAGAACCAGGACTCAAATTCAGACCTAACTTCGCTCTATTCTCTTGGAGGTCTGTCCCTGGGTCTTCCATATACAGTATTCCAGCCAATGCTGAATGCTGGTCGCACTGTCTTCTCAGCCCAGTAAGGCTGACAAGGTCATCCATAAAATAAACTGGACCCTGTTTATCAGGCTTCTCTCTGCGTCACATGTTTTCTTACGCTCCCACCAGGTCCTGGCTCGTCCAGATGCCAGGTGGCTGATAGGAGGGAGAATGCCTTTCTCTTGTCAGAAGGCAAACCCCCAGAGTCAACAAACAGCGCAGATCTTGGAGGAGAAACCTGCTCAGCAGGAGCTGGGACACCTGACAGCAGGAGAGTGGTGGCCCCTCCCTTTCCAGGGAACCCAGAGCTAGAGACTTGTCTCCCTAAGGTCCCAGCCCATACTCTGGGAACCAAGAGTTCTTAGGCTGTAAACTAGTTGCATTTGCATCTCATTAGTCGTCCCTCCCCCCACACTCCCAGTAATGCCTCTGACAGGCTTCTGCTTGGATCTTGGGGTCTCAAACCTCAGGCTTTTGGAAGCACGTTTCAAAGTCCAGGAAGAGGAAAAGGTTTCTCCATTTTATCTCTTCACCTGGATTGAAGAGGCTGCATTGTGTACAGACTCTGATACTGAAACCAGACATAGGTTCAAATGCTGACTCCACCTCAGGGCCGGCAAGTCTCAGTGTGCAGAATTCCTGTGACTTTAAAGCTGGCGGCATGCTCCAGGGAGATGTATCACGATGACCAATTTATATATATATATATATATATATATATAATACACTATGTATAAAAATTAGGAGCCCTGGTAGTGCAGTGGTTAAGCAATCGGCTGCTCATCAAAAGTCAGCAGTTCGAATCCACCAGCTGCTCCTTGGAAACCCTATGGGGCAGTTCTACTCTGTCCTATAGGATCTCTGTGAGTCGGAATCGACTGGACGGCAACGAGTTTGGTTTTGGTGTGTATCAATTATATATATTATATATAGTTTTTAAATTAACTGTGATAATTTAAATTACCTATGTTAATTTAATGATATATTTCTCACTGTCTCCTTGTTACTGAAAATTGTAACTGGAGTAAGACACCACTGCTGACAAGATGTGTTCTATCTCAGAGGTTTTGGGGGAGAAAAAAAGATTGGGCTAGAAATTCCATGTTTTTTAACTTTGGCTGCACAGTAGAATCACCTGAGAAGTTTAAAGAAAGTACTGATGCCCAGCCCCTAGCCCAGATCAATTAAGTCAGGATCTCTGGGATTAGGGCTGGGTGGTGGTGTCTTCTGAAGGCATTCCCAGGTGATTGTAGCGTGCAGCCAGGGTAGAGGACCACCAGACTAAAAGACCCACCTCTTGAGGCACTGCTGACTCTGATCTAGCCCCTAGGCTGTGAGGTATGTTTTTTGTATGTTTACATATTTACATTGTGATTTCATGTTTTCACATTTCTATTTTGGTTGACTCTGTCAAAGCTCTACTCCCTCCCGAGGATTCAGACTTTCTGACAAATGAGTCATCTTTCAAGACATGGTTTCCTCTCCAGCCGTAACACAGAAGGCAGTTCTCAGCACCAACCACTGGAAGGCGAGGAGATGAAGGAGCTTCTATCGGAGGTTGAACCAGGTAAAATCTACAAAACAACAGCTGCACTCTTGTGTGCTCCCACTTGAACACTGTTGTGTACATCGACTTGAGCTTGAGTTATTACTGAATATAAAAAAAGATGAGTTTAAAACAATGTTGTTTTAATACCTGGGCTGTAGTAACTGAATTCAAACAACCAAATGAAGAAAAATACTTTCAATGGCAGCAAAACGCTTTTTGCCTTGGTTGGAGGCACTATGTATTAGCTAACTATTGCTGCATAACGAATTTATCCAATTTGCAGCTTAAAACAACAACAATAATTTATTATCTCTCATGGTTTCTATGGGACAGGAATTCAGACAGAGTCCAGCAAGTATGTCTTATTTTTGCTCTACCATGTCTTAGACCTCAGCTGGAAGAATCCAAGGCTGGGGACGGGAATCATCTGAAGAAGTCCTGTTCACTCACATTCTGGTGGTTGATGCTGGCTATTGGCTGAGACACCCACATGTGGCCTCTCCGTGTGGCCTGGGCTTCCTCACAGCATGGTGGATGGGTTCCAAGGGTAAGAACACTGAGAAAGATGAAGCCAGATGGATGTCCTATTGTCTTAATGGCATAGGCTAGGAAGTGAAGCAGTGTCATTTCTTCTATTTTTTTCCTATAGGTTGAGGCTGTTACAAAGGTCTACCCAGGTTTAAGGGGAGGGAACATAGACCCCCCAAGTCTTTTTTGGAAGAATGTTGACATCATATTGTAAGACGAGCATATGGGATGGGATATATTAGTGTAGCCATATTTGGAAAATACAACCTGCCACACATTGTTTGCCTTTTTAATTTTCTTACTCATTTTTTTTCAGATTACAAAAGTAACATGTGCATGTGCTCTTTGTTTAAAAAAAAACTAGTAACAATCCAGAACTGTATATACCAAAGTATGTTTCCTCTCCCACTTTACTTACTATCTCAATCCCATTCTCCAGCAGTAACCACTATTAACAGATTGATGTGTATTTTCCTAGATGAATTATATACATATATATACTGCTTTTAAAAAATAACACTTTATATACATTATTCTGCATCTTGCTGTTTTCACTCATTATTATGTGATGAACAGAGTTCCATATTAGTACATATAAAAACAATTATTTTTTAATGCTGGCTGTCATAGTATGTGTCTTAGGCTCGGTTCTCTAGAGAAGCAAAACCACTGAAGCATGTGTATATATCTTGTTGTTGTTAGGTGCCATCCAGTCGATTCTGACTCATAGTGACCCTGTGCACAACAGAATGAAACACTGCTCGGTCCTGCGCCATCCTCACAATTGTTGCTATGCTTGAGCCCATTGTTGCAGCCACGGTGTCAGTCCATCTCGTTGAGGGTCTTCCTCTTTTTCACTGACCCTGTACTTTAACAAGCACGATGTCCTTCTCCAGGGACTGATCCCTCC